TTCGTCTGGTCCAATTCAGAGCAGGGTCAATAACTCGCATTCAGGTCCATCTCAGACGAAATCCCCGTTTGATACATGCCGTTATGCTGACCCCCTCCGGAAAAATCGAACTGCCCAAGCAAAAGACAAAATTGATTTGTCTCTGTTAACCTACATGACATTAGTGTACATAGTGCCTACATATTTTTGGAAGATTACTAAAATACAGTAGAGTCTCAAACTCGGCCTAATGTGGACCGAAGGGTGGTCGAGTTTGTGATAATGCCGTGTTATCAGGAATGGGGTTAAAAAAAATAAGTATGAGTGTTTCCTCAGAAAATACTGTACTGTACTTGTATGTATTGTTTACTTGAGAATACAATAGAGAATAAATTGCCCAAATACCCTTAAACAAAGGAAAAGTACGTCCTTTTATGAAGGCATAGAGCCTTTACTACATGAAAATGAAAATTAATGAATACACTGTGTACAGTAACTTACCTGATAAGACAGACCTCAGAAAAATACTTTGTGAGGCATAAAGCTGTCTATAATGAAAATTAATTAACTAAGGATTTTTTTGCCCTGCCAGGGTGTGGCCAAGTTATCCGGACTGCCAGGTTATCGAGTGTTGCGTTTTTGGGACTCTATTGTATATCAAAAATTGCTAAATTCCTTTTCTGCTACTGTCCCAATTAAGCAAAAAGTTGTCCAATTAAATGCTTAAATTATGTATTAATTTATTAGTTAGGTTTTTGTTCTTTGAGATTTGGTTCAATAAAATGGCTGCCCTGATTAACCAGTGTCCCAATTAAGAGGAATCAACTGTATACTATTTCAACTGAACAGTTTTCAAAAGTGTTAAAAGTTCCATTTTAAGTCCAGTTTTAATTAATGTTAACAATTGAATTTTTAATTAAACAAATCAAATAATTCATAATCAATATAATAATTCTGAGTGGCCAATGTCAAATATATAGAAATCAGTTAGAAATTTTCATCCTAAATTTATGAATTTTTAAAAAAAATTTTGTTAAGGAATAAAACTTCATGCTTAGGGTTTGGGATTTTTCTAGCTTTTTAGGATACTTAAATATTAAAAACCAAAAAAAAAAAACACCAATAAAAAATCATTTTGTAGCAATTTCCAATCCATTTGCCAAAATAGAAAATTATTTGCCAGGTTTGACTTTTTGTACCATCCAAAAATGAAAGAACAACTAATATTAAAAAAAAAAAAAAATGCTTGAGAAAGTTGATCATAAAAACTGCAACTTTATTTTTGTTTATTAACAGAAAAATTGTATCAGATCAAGATTGATTAAGGTTTTGTGATACTCTTTCTCACTAAGTGACTTTCCCAGACTGCTCTGTGGATATTCACCACTTCAGTCATCAGATAAATGTAATTTTTGCAAATTATGAATTTTGTGACAGGAAGTGTGACCCCTGCTACTGATATAAATGCTTTTAATGACTAAGTAAACATAATTACATTTTAAATATTAAATAATAATACTTTTAATAACCATATAATTTTAAAATATTTTATCTCTATTGATTTAAGTGCATAAAACATCAAAGTACAGTAGTGCCTTGTATTTCAAACTTAATTCATTCCAGGAGATTGTTCAAAGTTTGAATCAATTTTTTCCATTAGAAATAATGGAAAACGAATTAATCCATTCCAAGACACTAAATAATATCCATTTTGGTAAATTTAAAATAGTCTAATTTAAAGTAAAAATAACACAATTAAATGCCTTAATAATAAATTAAAACATGAAAACCATAAATAAAATACTTAAAAACTGTATAATAAAATGAAAACTGTATTTATTGGCTGCAAATCACTGACTAATGCATTTTAACATAGAGGTGTGATTTAATTATAACAGTTGTGAAATTTAACATATAGATAATGAGATTTTATTTTAAATTGTTTACTTTACAATTTGATTTTATTCAAACAAAATGTGATGTCTTGGGATAAAAAGCATGTCAGGCATATTATGATTCATGAGTTTCAAAAAGGATATAATGCTGTACAAATAATAAAAAAATTGTAATGTGTGTGGGAAGATGCTCCTAAACTTTGAACATGCCAAATGTGATTTAAAAAGTTCCATTTGGAAAATTTTGAACTAAAGGATACAAAAAGCTATCGACAAAGAAAAATTGAAGGAAGAAATTGTTAAAAATCAACAAATAACACTTATTACAGTATATAACCAAGCACAAAAAAAGCACTGAAAACATACAAGCATAGTGAGAGTGAGAGATGATTTGGAGAGACAAAAGATTTTGTTTATGCTTAGAATGTATTTTTTTCACTGCATGTGTATTTCAAACCTTGAAGCATTGTTCACACTCTGAAGCATTTGAAGTTCGTTGTTTGAAGTACAAGATACCACTGTATAATATACATTATTCAAAATAAAGCGTTTAGTTTGATTATCATTTTTAAAAAAGTTAGAAAAATTATTTTTTTTTTACATTTTTATAAGCCATTGTTCTGATTACAGTAATTTGGTTTAAAAAATTTTTCTTAAGTGAATATAAACATGTTAAAACATGTTAATTTTGTACTTCAAAAAGGAACAAAGAAATATTATAGTATGCAGACTATACAATTTGTGTTCATCTCCAGTTTGTGACATCAGTGTGACATTTTACTTTAGCCAGCAAGCTTTCTTGTTTAGGTGGTATTGGTACAATCCCTTGCTGTTGAGAATCTGGCATGAGCTTGCTCACAGATAGATTATACTATATTAATCTTTCAGCAGTGTTGTGCCAACCTAAGTTATAGTGTTATTTGGGTGCTGACATGATTCTACCAGTTTTGTTATATGTATTATCAAAATTAGTCCGGTTATAATTGACTTTAAAAATATATAATTTTGAAGTTACATTGTTAATCCAAACACAAATTATTTATTGTATTTATACAGACACTTGACAAATCACAGAATTAAACTTTATTCGGTTGATATGTGTTTTTCGTTTGTACACATTTCGGGCATTTCTTACCCCTCTTCAGCCAACTAAAATAAAAGTTCACAAGTTACAACAGTATAAATACACAAACATATAAGGTCATATTATTTTAAAAGCATACCTTTTTGATGAGTTTAAACAATTTTAAAATTTCTTCTATACACTTGCAATTATGTTTAAATTGATTTAACAATTAAAATTTACATATTAGTCTTTCGAAGTAATCCTTCCTCACAAACATATTGCGCTGACCTTTCCTACCCCTTTTTTCCCCCAGTTAAGCTTGCCCAATGTCTACTACACAGTCACGTGACTTGATGAGTAGGCCATCTTGTGGCAACATTTTTTAAAAATTATTTTTCTACATAAAAATCCTTTACATAAAAATCTTTTTCAAAAATATTTTTAATTTTATAAGATATTGTGCCAGTTTTCGTTTATTTTAATACTTAGATTTTTATTTATACATTTATTACTTTTGATAATTTCTACGCTTTCTTTGAACTTATGATGATATGTTTCTTTTTCTTTGTAGAGTATTTGTACTTTATCTTTATTTTACAATCGTTCAGGGTGCAATGATCATGAAAGGCAGAATTTAATCTATTGTATTTTAGATCTGCTATATGTTCTTTTAATCTGGTTTTTAACTTCCTTTTAGTTTCTCCTATATAATATTTATTATCTCTACAAGTACAATGAATTTTATATACTACATTCTTAGTTTCAGTTGGTGGTAGTTGTTTTTTCTCAGTGTTTAGCTGTTTAAGCCTTGTATACATTTTTTGGTATGACGGTGCTAACTTGAAGTTTATATTACTTATTTCATTATCAATTTGTTTGTGTAGTCCCTTGATGTATGGAAAGCCGATATACTTTATATCATTTGTTTTTTTATTGTCTTGTGGCTTTTTAAGATTATTTATTTTAAGTTTCCATTTTTTGAACAGTCTTTGTGGGTAACCTGCCAGGAGAAATTTCTTTTTTAATTTAGCTAAATCTGCAAATATGTGTATTTCTTGACTTGTTCTGTTTTTTATTTTAGAATATTCCATTCTAAATACATTATATTTGACATGAAGTGGTACGTTTGACTGATATCTTACTGTTATCTGACTCGAACCTGGCTTTCTAAATGTTCTAAATTCTAAGCTCTGATTCTAAGTTCATCAGTTGAAGATAACAAGTCACTGAAAAATTCTTCAAATTTAAAACAAATATTTTTAATCTCTTCACGACTTATAATATCTTAAAACTTGTAATAACTTTTTAATGACAATAATAATTAAAGTTTTAATTTACCTCCATTAAAAATGAATTTGAAATTATTCAACTTTTTAAAAATAAAATATTATCTTTAATTCACATTTTAATTAGCTGTAACAGTCATTTCATAAATAAAATAAAATTATTTATGATTTAATTGATAATATTTTTAGGTCATTAATTTTATTTAAAAGTTGTTACAATTTTTAAAACAATTAAAAAAAAAATTGCCGAAGGTAGGATCAAACCTAGATCGCCCGCATGGCAAGCGAGTTCGATACAGACTCAGCCATTTCGCTGTGCTGTCATAGTGTAAAATTGATCAGTATGTGAGCTGCGCTTTAAACTTTAGAGCCTTTTTTCTCGGAATATTCTGGCTAATGCACTTTACAATTCTTCTGGGTAGACACCCTTGAGGTATACTACTGACATGCAAAGTCTCATCCTGAACTGAATTTCCGAGACCATAAGGTCTCTTTGTTAGTAAAATGCCTGATTATTGTCAATGTAATTTACAAACTTTTTTAAAAAAATAATTAATAAACCAAAAATTAATATTTTAGTCTCTGATATTTTTATAGTTTGATAAATATTAAATTGTTATAAAAATTGTTATGGCATAATTTTAGAATAGACTTAATTCAAACAAAAAAGCTAGGCTATACTATGCAAAATATTTTTAAGCTAACACATAATTAATAATTATATAATAATTTTGATACAAAATTCTTATACAGTTATGTTTTATAATTTAACAGTACCAGTTCTGTGAACTATAACTCATCTACACAAGTATTAGGTGACAGTAGACCTTACAGTAATCAGACAAGTACAATGTAAGTATTTATATATTTGGTGGTCAAAAGTAAACTGAACTTTTAATAGATAATAAAATTTTCAAGTTTTATTATGTTAATAGCAGAAAATATTTACAAAAGATTTCCTTCAAATTAAGTGCTTTCTGCTGCTATGCACTTTTGTGGATGTTTTAACTGATATATTTTGCATTACCTCCTTGATTGCAATTGTTGCAGCATTTTTTTGATGTGAAAGACCTAGCTTTGAGTTTATTCCCAAAAGTAACCTGTTAACAAGGTGTTCTATATTGGCATTTTAAGTAATTTCTGTGATTTAATAAAATGAAAATAACCTCATCTCTACAAGCAAAATGCTTGGTTTTCCATTATAACTATTGTGTGGTGCATTGTGCCCTCCTAGTTAGTTATCATCTTACAAAACTTCAGAAACTTATTCTTTATAGCCTTTTTAGTTACTTTTATTCCTGTAGACTTTCTTGATGTCTTCACTGAAATGAACCCTTTATCAAAGGGTCACTGAAAATGCACTCAAGGTTATTCAGACTAGTTGCTAGACTATTTCAATAAGTAATACAAATGTTGGCAAAATTGTGTAGCTGCAGAAAATGCTTATTTTGAAGTGATCTTCTGTAAATTCTTGTGCTATTAATATAATAAATGTTATATTAAAAGTCCACTTTATTTTTTACACTCGCTTATATATACTGTAATTTTTATATTTTAAGGAAAAAGATTGTGATTTAAAATAACCTATTCTGCAAAGCAAGAATGTTAAGAAAATAAATTGTTCACATTTTTGAAATCATCTAATGTATATTTTCATTGCAGTCTGGAAAATGTTTTCTTATTTAAACAGTGTAGAAACAAGAATAGATTAAAACAAATAAAAATCAGTTTGTTCAGAAGCACTGTAAAAGCACCAATATGTCAATTTATTTTTACAAAAATTAAAAACTACAGGCTATCTATATTTTTTATATCAAAAGTAGTGTCAGTTCTGTCTATACTAGTAGCTCGGGACGCTCCCTAGTGGGCATTCTTTACAAATTTCCATGAGGCACGGTTCCTTTGACTTTTTTGTTCCTATCAATATGCTCTACAGCTCTGTTAAAGTCCGAATGGTAAGATTTACACTCCGAATGAAGAGGTGGTGACCTCCCCAAACCATAGACCCCTGTACTAACAATAAAGTCAAAGGAACCATACCCCTACTCGCGACCCTTCGAGAGATATAAGCCCCTGAAATAATAAATTCCTATTACAAATATACTGAATTATTTATATTGTTATATTGACCAAATAATAATTTATTGGCCAAATGAATAATAAAAATTTATATTGTTAATTTAAATAAGAATTAAAATTGTTAATTTGAATGTTTAAAATATGACACACGATAGGGGCACCTCTAGTGTCCGTTATCAAACAGTTACGGGACAGACGAATACCCGTTGAATGGGTTATATATATATATGTTGTTCTAGCCATGGTATGCCAATTGTTTAATATATTATTATATCTCTAAAAAAACTTTTGGCTAGTTTTTGCTGAACACTCCAGTTTTTGTCTGATTACTGAAGTTAAGTGCATAGACCAGCATTTGGTATTTCATACTGTCTCCATTTAGGACTCAGTGGGGCTGGTTGTTATGAAATTCAAATAGAGGGAGGATTTTCTTACAAGGAAGGTATCAATAATATACAATGTGGCAAATCCAAATGCGGTGATTTGTCTTTGAATAAGGAGTCATAGTCAACAGTTCAGCTTTATTGTTTTCATATTATACTGCTTTGTGTGATCAGTCTAAAAGAAATTAATTTAGACTACTTAATTTATATTTATTTAAACTTAATGACATTTACAATGATAGAGCAACTATCATTGGTTAAAACATTGGATAAAACATTGAATAATGGAAGAGTCATAGATTAGGATCTTGAATACAACTTTTATAAGAAAACCAAAATCATTTTCATAATAAATTAATTGAATTTGGGGAATCCTCTTTACAAAATTTTACAACTTTTAAGTGCAATCTCCTTTATTAAATATTTTTTTTATTCAAGTAATCAGGCATGTTGTCTCAAATTTCCTTACAGATTTTAGAATATTGAAATATTCAAATTGTTTGGTTCCTTTTTTCAGGTTTAATGAAAACTGATGGTATAATTTTTTCCTTGTCCTTGCTTTCCTATCAACCAGGTGGCAGTGTCATTAATTTCAGACCTTAGCTTTTAAGACTGTTACTGTGTTTTGATTTTATAGATTACGAGGGCTGTTCGGAAAGTTCGCGGCCTCATATAGAACAACAAACAAAATAATGTTAAAACTTATTTTATTTTTCAATGTAGTCTCCTTTGTTAGCAATGCACTTATTCCAGCGATGTTCTAGCTTTTTTATGCCATTACAATAGGTCGATTTGTCAAGGTGTGCAAAATACTCGTTTACTTCAGAGATGACTNTATTTCAGATATTGAAATTTGAATTGTAATATAAACATTTCATTTTTACATTAATTTATTTATTTGTGTTACAAAAACTAACAAAACTTTCTTACATTATTTTTCATATTATTATCTTTTAATCCAAACATATTTGGTTTATTTATTTACTGTGCTTTATAATAAATACTTGTTATGATATGAAACTTCTTTTTATCATATATTAAATTCCATAAGGTAAGTCGCATATAGGCAAGGCCGCGAACTTTTCGAACAGCCCTCGTAATATTTATATTTAGTAAAGTTTATTTAAACATTTTTAAGTAAGTATTGTTAACTTTTTTAATCGTAGGTAAGTAACCATTCGTAAAAATGACAAATGAAATATGGCAGTATGTCAGTATTTGAACACAAATTCTTGGGAGAAAAAATTGCTTGTTCCTCAATTGAACAAATACAATCCACTAAAACAAATTTTCAATTATTAGTATATTTTTATTTTGTCTCTCACACATTATCATTTTTATAAAGAATAATATTAACAATATATTTAATTGATATTAAAAAAGAAGTAATCTGATTTTTTTAATAGGACAACACGTAGCTATGTTTCTATGGGTGGAGGTTATGGAGGATCTAGTTATAATTATGAATATCATAATGGTAGTGCTACAACAGTTCAATCAGGACTATGTGGTCTTAGCAACCTTGGTAATACATGTTTCATGAATTCTGCTCTTCAGGTAAATATCATCTTTCTATAATGAAATTTTTTAAGATTTAAAAAAAAATTTAAATTTAAAATTATATGGATATGAATTTTTAAGTATTGCTTTTAATATAACTTAATTCTTTATGAATTAATCTTAAATTTGTTTAATATATTATACAAATCACAGATATGATTTTTAAATTATAATTATAACAACACAGTATAACTTCTGAATAGTGGACACCATCAGGACCAAGAAGTTTGTCTGCTATGTAGAGTTGTCTATTATTAGATGATACATGCTCATAGCTATATAATATAGCTATTTTAATATGGTCGTTAAATAATGAAGAATACAATAGATTATGAAAACATCAAATTTCCATTAGTAATGTGAATATATCAAAAATTATAAGTAGGATATATAATTAAAATATATATGTTACCGCTAAAGCTCGAAATCCGTTAATGTGTACATTACCTAGCTAATCTGCAGATTAACTAGGGTGATCCGTTAAAGCTGCGAAAATTGTTCAATTTCTCAAATTACCTAGGTAATTTGCAGAGTATCTAGGTAATCTGCACATTAACGGCTTCCGTATCGTTAAAGTTCAAAAGTTTGTTTCTTTCACTTCCTTTCCCCATTCCTCCTTTTTATGTAGATAAATTTAAATCCTAGAATGCAAGCAAGCACCGAATTGGTGAGTAAAATCAAGAAAAGATTCTTCGCAAACCTCTTTAGCGAAGACTTAAAATATAATACGTAGTGTCTTAATAACAAACCAAAGTACGATTCCATAATTGAAGATGTAAAGCAAATAAAAGTTTCCAAAAAAAAAGAATCATCTCAAGATTATCAAATAATTCAAAGGTGTGATGTGTTGACTGTACGAGGCTGTGAAAAACTCATTGAGCCGTTGTCAGATGCGCGAGAAAGGTTTGAAAAAGTTTGTCCATGCCGGAGAATTGTTTGACATTCGATAAAAACTGAAGAAGACCTTGAAAAATTAGAAGATTCACAAGAGACTGTGATTATGAGATCACAGTCAAATCTTACTCAAGAGGACATTCCGTTATCCCCCGCTTCTACAGAATCACCTATAGAAATACAAGAATTTACCGATAGTAATCTTAAACTGCCTTCTATACCGTTGATTGATGATGCAGTCACGAAGAATATTCAGTTACCCTGCACCTCCAAGGAATCGCCTCTGCAAGTTGAAGAAGTCATCACTGAGTTACTCTCAACTTCAGCAGAATCGCCATCACAGTTTCGTACGGAGCCTGTAAAGAGCACTATACAAGACATAGTCTGTATTGTTTGCTCAAAAGCAGCATCAAGTGCTCACAAGTGTAAATCGTGTAATATGTTTGTTCACGCAGTTTGTGGTGAAGTAGATCCTAAAGAGGAAGGGTATGGTAAGAATGTATTGTGCATCATCTGTAAAAAGAATATGGATCAGAAAATACAGCGTGATGAAGCCAAGAAATGTTTAGAAAAGCAAGCAAAGAAAATGTTAGCAGTTTCTAATGCAAAGCACCCAAACGTCGATGAAGGTTTCGCTGTGAGAATTAAAGTACCCGAAGAAGACAGAGCAAAAACTGATGCACGTTCAATTTTAGCTGTGGTTCTTAGTAAAACAGAGGATGGCTTTTATAAACTTGATACTAAAACAGGTATTTTAAAACAATTGTATGCAAAATCTGAATTCAGTGTTTGCAAAGAGAGATTTTTAACGAAAGAAGATGGATGTCCCTGCTGTAGAAATATCTTTACGTCAAACAGCAATAAAACAATCCCTTGGTACTGGGCAGGGTTTCAGAAAATGTGACTGCAAATCTAAATGTACCACAAATAGGCGTGCTTGTCGCAAAAACCAATTGCTACGTAATTCAAAGTGTCACCAATCTTTAGATTGCACTAATAAGTAAGTACAATTTTATCATATGTTTTGCAAATTCATTTCCCTAATTGTAGTAATATTTTAAACCGTTTGATTTTTGTATTAAAGTTTTTTTAATTGATTGATGATTGATTCAATCAACTAATTTGTTGATTGTATTAACTTGATTCTTTAGATATTGAAAATTAAATAAATAACATTATGTTAATTTAAGCGTACAGAAACGTTGCTGTTGTTCCAGCAAAAATCTTATTTTCACTTTACCGAGTGCCTAGTAGGTAATTTGCAGATTACCTAGATAATCTGAACAATACCTAAGTAATTTGAGAAATGGAATAATTTTCGCAGCTTTAACGGATCACCCTAGTTAATCTGCAGATTAGCTAGGTAATGCGCACATTAACAGATTTCGAGCTTTAGCGGTAACATATATACAATATATCATTCATCTTTTCAACTTTAAAAATCTCATTTTAATTGAATTCTAAATTGTAAAAAGATTGGACAGGATACTTTAAATGGAACATAAAAATTACAACAAAACATAAACATTGATTAATTATTAATTCATCAAAAATAATGTGAGCAGAAAGAACAAAAACGAAAATGAACAAAAGGGTGGATGAAGATCAGTTTAGGCAGTGAGAATTTGAATGTTGAGTTAAAGGCAATTTGCTAGCCACTTCAAGGGATGGGAAATGTAATCGCTATTCTTGCATTTATAATGTCATTTATGATCTAAGCAACTAATAAAAATGTATATAATGATTTGTATGCTTTGTATTGATAGTTATCTAGGAAGTGTAATTTTTCAAACATTTTTGCTTTTTTTTTCAATAAATGATATTTTAAAAATTACATCTAAACCACAACAAAACTATTAAAAAATATGCATAAATGGAAGAATACCAAATATCTTCCCATACTTTAAAGAGATTGGCAAATTACCTTCGTAACGCAACCTGTGTAGAAACTAGTGATGGGATTGGAATATCGATATATCGTGCCTGGTGATTTCTGCTATATTAAGATATTCATGGTTTCAATATATCACCAATAAATCAGTGTTTTGGTGTAATATATCAGTGGAAACTGTGGATTGGCTGGGGAAGGAACAAAGGAAAGCAACATTCAGCATTGTCGTCATGCTGTGCTGTTTGTAGTGTTGCCACCCGCTGGCTTTACCCAAACAAGTCGGTTTTTAAATTCATGGTCTGGATTAATTATTAATCTGTCCGGTTTTCATAGAAATTGTGAAATTATGATAAAACAAACTATTCTTACTTTTATGTATTATTTCTGCAATTGATATTGACATCATACTGTTATTAATTATTTTTGAATATGCCACATGTGATTATTATACAGTAGAGCGTCGATTTTCCGAATCAATTGGGGACTGGGGTTGTCCAGATAATTGATATTTCGGATAACTGATTTACGTTTGAAAAAATAGTTTAACGTATCCAATGTCTAAATTTTTCTCTGTTGTGTGTCGCTTTGCGTCGAATTTTCATCGATATTAAGCCTAACAAAGACTATTGTATTGTTAAAAATTATTTTTTTATTTTGTACAAACAAAATAAATATATTGAAAAATATAAAAATAATAAAAAATTATACTTCAGATGTTGATTTAGTATCAAAAACGTAAAATATTTGAGTAGCCCAAGACGTAGCCAAAGATTGAAGAACCACAGCACTGGCGAAAATTTAAATTTGCCGACTAAAATTCTTTCGGATGATTGACTTTCGGAAAATCGACGCTCTACTGTAGTTACAAAACTTTTCCCATCACTAGTAAAAACAAGAAAAGTTTATTGTTTCTTGGTACCATAAGCTTAATTCCAACAATAGCACAGAAGTTTAATAACATTAATATGTATGACAATAAGTGGTGACTGACAGATAAGACTAATCTAATTAAGCTAACAGATAGGGTATTATTCAGCTTTTTACAAGCTGCTCTCCTTTAATTAAAATTTATTCTCTGAAAGAGTATTTGAACTGATTCTTTGTTTTTGTTTTAAAATATTTTGTACATAATTAATTGTTTCAGAATGTTAAGGCAAGACATTGTGTTTTCATAAGGTTAGTTATGGATGATAGTGTTCACTATTTAGAGGTAAATATAACACATGTTCTATTTGAAGGATCTTGGGATTATAAAAAATGTCCATTACATAGAGGTGTCTGCTATTTGAGTGTGTCTAATAATGGAGGTTTTACTGTATAATTATAGTAGCAATTAGTGCTATGCCTTGTATACCCATAGTTATACTCGGGTAAATCCATGTATCAGTGGAGTGCCGTGGCATTTGATGATAGGGAAGCTGTGTTTCTGTAAGAAGCTGACTTCTAGGAACAATCAGTTAACTGCGAGTCAGTGATGGTCTAGGATCCATTCGTATCCTTTGTTTGATAAGCCAGTAAAAACTGCAGACTTCTCTAAATGTATTTTTAATATCACAGTTAAATTCTGAATTGCTAGCCATGATATAAGGACTAATTCAAAATAAAACAATAAAAACTTACTTGGTAAAATGTGTGCTGGATGTACAGTACATACCTGGTACAAAATATTCTTCAATTGTATGAATATACTTTTAAACAAAATTATAATTAAATATAGCTTTGTAAAGAAACATACATAAAAATAACATAAAATATTATTTTCTTTTTAAATCTTAAAACAATCCACTTAGTCAAATAGCTTCCTACTAGTGGCTAATGGATGGAATCAGAGTAGGTTGCATGGCATGTGGACTGCCAAATCCTGAGGGTGCCGATACTGGTCAATGTCAAATGCCTCTTTTGTCACATCACTTGTATATCTCAAAGGATGCAACAGGGTTGTAAATTTTAAATGTTTCTCGCCATAGTTGTAAAAATCTAAATATGTTAAATTTAATAGATTGTCCCTTGTTTGTTTTCTCACTAATTTGTTTTAAGACCAGGTGGTGCCACAAAAATTTCCAAAATTTACAACTTTTCGGTCACTCTCATTGAACTGGAAAAATTTCTGTCTTTATTACATCTAATATTGTGAAGAAATCAGTCCCCACTGTACTCGGCTAGAGATTGATTCAGTTAAGGTTTTAAGTAAAATTCCGACTCTTTCAGCAGAGTGTTATGTCCCTAATTCCCTAATCTCATAATTATTTAACTACTTGTTAAGTAGAAATAAGTTGTAATCGGTTACTTTGTACTTGAATATTTGTAGTCTTGCGGAAAAAGTGGAAAGACAAATTTTTATGACAATGGATACATAAATCATAAATTTAAGGAAAATAAATTCTATAGCTTTTTCTGTACCTTGTGCATCTCTCTCATTCATTAAATTAAAGTAACAGTTAATTTTTTAACATTGTACAAGAATTGTACACATTTTTTTCTACATCTCCTTATAGATGGGACAAAATCATAATATCACTGAAATCCTTAAGTAATACAAGATGGGAGAGCAGAATAAAAATATCAAATATTTTAATGGATTTTTTTAAACTCCTGTCAACTATACAGAACTATCATAAAAACATACCAATAAATTTCTATCGGGTTAAGTTATAAATGTACTTGTGATTCACATAATCGGGCAAGGGCAGCCAAATATGTAGCAGGAAGGCAGCTAACAGCCCAGAACTGGTCCTGGATAGAATCATTGGAAGTATTATATGTGTGTAGCTTCCACCAGCTAAACCTACGTGAGGTTGGTGCTCTGTAAAGCACATGCATGAATGTGTATAATCTGGCTGTTTGGAAGCTGACCCAGTTTCGACAATACAGCGCTTCCATTCTGCCACTGATATTCAAATATACAATAGTAATCTTATTGTTTTTTTCACATGTAGTATAGAAATTTGTAATAAGATATATAATGCAGTTATAATAAATATTAATTTTAATTAATCCAAAATATGTTTAAATATGAAAATAATCGCGCAATATGTATTTATTTTTTAGAAAATACAAGGGAAGCGGCGCTTCCACTGCTTCCAATGACGGCATGCCACTGCCATGTATCAGGTGCACAACTATTACCCAAGTAACTGTATGCATTTAAAAGGTTACATGTGCACAAGTTAAGAGATCATAAATGAGCAAAATGATTAGTAAACATTTTTTATAATTTTATCTATTTAGCTGTCTTGATTGATTATTTTTCTAATGAATTACTGTTTTCAATTTCTAAAGGATTAATTTTTGCAGGCTAAAATTTTTAGTTACCTTTTTTAGAATTGCTGAATTATTAAAAATTTGAGATATTTTATTATATCATATTATAGTTTTACAGTTTTAGATTGATATCACTTTAAAAGAGAGAAAAAGCAGTTTTTTAAATTTGTTATTTATTAATAAATTTTGCAATCTGTTACGGAATAAATTTATTGAATTTGTCACTTTTAATAAATTAGAAATTTAAGTTTTTTGTTACACAATCAAAATCATCATTACATTGAAAAATGATAATAAATACCACTATTTAAATTAAAATTATTTGTTTTTTGTACTTTATTTTTATTTTAAGGCTAATTTATTAACACTTTCCCTCAATTTGAAAATGTGGGTTTAATTGTTAGGGGGTTAGGAAAGTATTAAAATATGGGTATCCCTCATACAACATGGTACTTCTACAACGCTCTTTTGCTCTAACATGGCTAGAAAATTGGGAATATCTGTCGTAAAACATAGTTTCCAGTTTCACTCTAACACTGTTTTGGAAATTGTACAAAATTTCACAATTTTTAAATGCAAAGTCTTTTGTTTGATATTTTTTTTATTCGTGTAAGCATGCAAGTTGTCTCAAATTTGCCTTTTGGATTTTAGAATATTGAAAGTTTCAAATTTTGTACTTTTCATCAGGTTTACTTTAATGAAAACTGATAGTGCAATTTTCTTCTTTGTCCTAACTTTACTATCAACCAGGTGTCGTTGTTGCTTTCAGAATTTAGCTCTTAAGACTGTTGTGTTTTCTTTTTATAGATTAATCTTTATATTTAGTAAAGTTTATTTAAGCATTTTTAGGTAAGGTATTTAAACTTTTTTTAATGAATGATTACTTGATTCATAAAAGTGATGAATAAAATGCAGCAATATCTAGGTACTCGAATAATTCGGTATTCAAATGCAAATTCTGGAAAAAGTCATTCAGTATGTGACTGAACAAATGCAACCTGCTAGAACAAATTTTCTATTAATAACATATTTTTATGATAAAAATAAAATTATCTTAATTATTATTAAAATTATGGCACTTTCTCAGAACATAACTACCATGTTATATGAGGGATACTTGTATTTGGAAAAAAATGTCATTAATGTTAGATTATTAGAGTATTACAGATTGTTCTTTCAAATTTCCTAACTAACACAGTAGTTTTAAAATCTCAAATGTTTTAAAATATGGTAATTGATATTATATTAGGAACTCTGCCCAGTTCTCTTCCATACACTAACCCTTGTCTTGTGTTGTCTTGCCATGTCTTGTGTTCTCATCCACATTGAATTTTATAATAATTCTTTACACAAACAATTTGGAATATTTTTAAAAATAAAAATTAAATTAGTGTGAAATTTTGAAATGTCAGAAACATTACATCCTTTTGGGTGTGAAATACCTATGGATATGCTTCATCTGAATTATCTTGGTACCTGATGCTATTTGTTAGTGGTTTTTCCACTATCAGTTAGAGGAAACTGTAAACATGAAGATATGTTTATTTGCAGTTTATATTTCAGATATTGAAATTTGAATTGTAATATAAACATTTCATTTTTACATTAATTTATTTATTTGTGTTACAAAAACTAACAAAACTTTCTTACATTATTTTTCATATTATTATCTTTTAATCCAAACATATTTGGTTTATTTATTTACTGTGCTTTATAATAAATACTTGTTATGATATGAAACTTCTTTTTATCATATATTAAATTCCATAAGGTAAAATTTAATTTTTGTGTAATTTAAAAAAAAGATGTAAATAAGAATTTAAAAAAAAATTAAATAACAAAAATGTAAATTTGCAACATTATATTCTGAGTTACCTGTTTTTATTTAAAATATTTTCCTAAGCTTTTTTAAAATTACAAATCATACATTTTTCTGATTCTGCATTGATGTTTTCTTGAATATTTACAAAATAAATACATTAAGTAAAGTTGAATAATTGACTATTTATATACAAAATTCATTTATAAAATTGATCTACTAATCTGCTGCAGTGTATGAGCAACACTCCACCACTTACTGACTACTTTCTTCAAGATTATTACTGGAAGGAAATGAATACTGAAAATCCTTTAGGAATGCATGGAGAAATTGCCAAATCATATGGAGATCTGATAAAAACTATGTGGTCAGGACGCTATACTTACATTCTTCCACGTAATTTCAAGGTAAGCAATTAATTATTAAGTGAAAACTTATGATAAATGTGTTATGCATAAATATGATATTTAAAATTTTTAATTAATCATTTTACTAAGGTTTTGTGTTAGACAAATTCATTTATCTAATTAAGTTTAATTGCAAAGTTTATTATGGTTATATATGAGCTCTTTTTCCAAAGTTAATGATTGTAAAATTATGATGATTTTTACTATATATATTGTATTCAATCATATTATATCTACCATTTATCTCACATTCTGCATCTTAGCTGATGTGCTTTTTTCTACTTCAAATCTAGTAACTATTTTTTGTTTTATGTAATTATTTTTATTATTGTATTTATGATTTCTAGTATGAGAATTTAATAATGATAATAAAATTGATCTTATTTATAGTCTACTCCTACAATAATAGGTTGTCTCATTTTGCAAAAAAATATCAGTATATAATTTCACCATTTTAGAAATTCCAATTATTTAATGAAGTAAAATAAATAAAAATAATTTGATTGGTTATTTAAACAATTATAAATTCTATAGCAATTAATCCTATCATTAATCTTCCAAATAAGCAAATCTTATGTAATAACTATTACATTCTTTATATAGAATGTAATAAGTTATTATATTTAAAGTTTGCTACCTACAAATTTTTGCAAAATTGCATTTTTATATAAATTTACTGAACTTTTTCTGATGCCAGCTTATTATTCTTTCCTGTTTCTTATCACATGTAATGTAGGGTTATCAAATTTTGGAATATCAACATTGAGAAATGGGGAAAAAAACAGGTTTTTTTCCCTCTCTTTCTCAATGTTGATACTTCATGAGCTCAAAATATATATATGTATATTATTATGTTGAGTTTACTGAGTTATACTTGGTTGTCAACCATTTGCTGTGTACTATGCTGGACCAGAGTCAAGGCATAACAACTAAAACAAGACAAAAATTATTATTATTATTATTATTATTATTATTATTATTATATACAAAAATATAATATGATGTTCTTAATCAACATAGAATCATGTGTTTTATATATATATAAACCTTAAAAAGTTTTGTGTGTGTACTAGTATTTACTTTACATTACAGTATATCTATTTTGAAACTTGGCATGATTATTTCTATATATGCAGGGCCGGATCATCACATAGACAAATGTCTAGGGCCCAGTTTTTAGAAGGGCCCGGTCAAACTGTCTATTTTGAAAAGATTTGTAAATAAGATAGTTTATTTTTCTGTTGGACAACAGTATATAATAAATTCAAATAAACAAAAATATATTGCTTTTTATATGGTTATTGTGAATTCTAAAATCTAAAGAAAATGTACGTGGGTTGTTCAAAAAGTTCCTGAACTTTTTGAATAGCGTGCCTCTAGTTGGTTATTTTTTAATTCATTTGGAGGCATTGTGTCCATGGAAACCTCCCAAGTAACCTCCTTCAACCAGTTTGTTGATATCTTGTTTTGGTGATTAGTTACGGCCATTTATGTGGAGTGTTTGTGGGGCTCGGTGAAAAATTGGATCCATGGAAATCAGCTCTTTGAAAGAGCAGTGTTGTTCTGTGAAATTTTGTGTGAAACTCGTAAAATCCTTTATGGAGACTTCCCACAGTGGGTGAAACAGCCCCCACCCCAAGAAAGCTCAACAAATTCGCTCAAATGTTAAGGTGATGTTGATTGTTTTTTTTCGATGTAAAGGGGGTTATGCATCATGAATACCTACCTACAGGCCAGACAGTCAACATGGAGTACTACCTGGTGTTATGAAACGCCTAAGAGACAGAATCAGGCAAAAACGCCCCAAACTTTGAAGGAGCGGCAAGTGGTTTTTTTTTCACCACGACAACGTGCCAGCTCATTTGTCCCTCAGAACTCGTGAGTTTTTGGCCAAAAACAAGACTGCTATGCTTCCCCACCCACCCTAATCACCTGATCTGGCCCCAAGTGACTTTTTCCTGTTCTCCAACAAACTAAAAAACACGCTCAAAGGAAAACGACTTGCCACCATTCCAGAGAGAGAAAAAAATGGAGAAGCTTATGAGCATTCCGAAAATTCCTTATGAGCATTCCAGGACTGTTTCAAAAAGTGGAAACACCATTGAAATAAGTGTATACGTTGCGGAGGAGACTACTCTGAAGGGGACCCTGACAAATAAATTGTATGTGAAGTTTTTTTTTTTTTTTTTTGTAATAAATAAAGTTCGGAAACTTTTTGAACAACCCTCGTATTCTTATGTTTCTTCTTCTTATTGAAAGTAAAACTCCCAATAATTTAGAATTTTTTTTATAGCGATAAGAATAATATTAACTATATGTATTCTTAAATCCTGTGAAATATTGTGAAATAATTTTGATGTTATTTTTTTATTAAGCAGCTGCAGTGTCTGTATGCGATTTAATAGAAATAATAGTAACAGAATTATTAATTGAAAGAGCCGCGAGGGGACCCGGAAGAAGAAAATGTCTAGGGCCCCAAAGTGGGTTAATCCGGCCCTGTATATAAGGGCATTGGTGCTGTTAAATTTTGGTGGTTAAAGGTCAAGAGGGTGAAGAGAGAGAAAGAGGTGGTCATCTGTCATATCTTGAATGAAAGTCTGACTTAAAATTTTACTCATTATTGCCATTCAAAACTTTTAAAATTCTAAAAACTTGCACTATCCCAAAAATAAGCATTCTGACTTTTTATAATAATGAATAATAATATAAGGGTAGATGTACACATGTGATGCAGCAGCAAAACTGGCAGAATGACGTCACTTTTTTGTCGTAGAAGTCAATTTTCTGCTGCTTTTTTCATGCTGCGAGAGTTGGTTGAATTCTATCTTTTGTGACATTTGCTATCAAGATGTATTTCTATTGGTCAATGACAGTTCATTTCTCAGTCAACATAGAATCATGTGTTGTTTTAATGGTGGAAAGTTCAGCACGATTAACTGAGATCACTGACATTAGAATAATGAGGAAAGGATAAATTTTACACAAATAATCATATATAATTTAAGTCAAAGGATTTGTCCTTTGACTATATAACACTCGGCAAATAAATCATTCCCAGTTCATAACCAAACAGAAAAATTCTTTCTACAAATGTTTTCATCTATATGTAATAGACATCCTCAAGTATTGACAGATTTACGATAGGACTTGGCCGGCAAAGCCATCTTCAATATACTGTATTTCAAAAAACTGGATACTTAATTATATAACACTCACCAAATAAACCATTCCCAGTTCATAACCAAATAGAAAAATTCTTTTTACGAATGTTTTCATATATATGTAATAGACATCCTCAGGTATTTTACATATAGATGAAAACGTTCGTAGAAAGAATTTTTCTGTTTGGTTATGAACTGGGAATGGTTTATTTGGTGAGTGTTATATAATTAAGTATCCAGTTTTTTGAAATACAGTATATTGTCCTTTGACTTAAATTATATGTGATTATTTGTTACCAAAGATCTTTATTGAAGAATAAGTGTATTTTGTATGCCAGTTCTTTCTCAATTTAAGAAAATACATGCCGTTTTCTACTTTAGTATGCACAATCAGTTACTGGAGAAATAGCCATTATGTAAGTATAGCTATTTCTCCAGTAACTGATTGTAAAGATATATACCAGAGTAATTGTTTTTTGGTGTAATGTTACATCAATCCTTCAGGGCCTTCTATTGTGAGTATTATGTCCATTGCCTTTATTGCTTTATGTTAAACATAGTTTATTATTGATTATTGTTAGTGTGGAAAAAAAAAGATGGAATCTATTATACAGCACATATGAGATAACCTCAGTTCTTTAATTGTGATGTCTTTTTGGTTATTTAAACCTTTTAATGTAAATTTTATGTATATTGTACAGTACTTTGTTATCTTTATAAAAATAATTGAGGAGGGAACTCCAAAAGAATCTGAAATGCATTTTGGGTGTATTGTATACATTTTAGATTCAATCATTGTAAAGTTTTTTTATTCTTTTGTAAACTTAGATATAAAATAAACTAAAGAAATTTTTTATGAATATCATATTCACTGATGTGATAAGCCCTAAAATTTAAATAACTGGTTTGGTTATCACAAAACTTTAAATGTAATTAAAGGACAGAAAGCAACAAATAATACAAAATAATGTCTTGATTTTTATTACATGGTATTCATATAAATAATTATATATATGGTTAAAATTAAGGGTTTTTTAAAAATCAAAATCAGTACTGATTAAAACTATAAAATATATAAAATAAAAATGATATTATTAGAGCAGTTGCTTGCTTTGCAACTGCCTGTGACAGCACTAAACAGCAGTGCCATCTCCCATTCAGAAAACAGTTCTATTAATTCAACTGCTACATCTCATGATAAAATAAAATAATTGAAATGGCAGTGCTATCATAAACAATGTGGTCACATAGAAGGAATTAGAAATATCAATCTGTACAATACATAGTTTGGGTTTTTATGCAGTGTCCTATATTAGATAGCCATAAGTTGTCACTGTTATTAATCAATCTCTAATAAAGCATTGCCAGATCATACTGTTCATACCAAGTCTACAGATGACTACCACTTTAAGATATTGCTTGGTGACAATAACCAAATTTAGGCAATTTTTAGCTTTTCTCTACAACATTTTTATATTCTGTATTGTATTACCATTTGATAAACATTAATAGCTTGATACAGTTTGTGATCAGATTATTAGGTATTTTTGGTGTTCCAAGCCTCTTTTCTTGAAATTTACATTAGTTAACTAACTATTAATTTATAATATGTCTTTTTTTTCTTATATATTTTATTTATGAGTAATATGAATATACTAAAATAAATCTTATTTTGTTAAGAAATTTACTAATATATGAGATGAAATTATGTGCAGTTTCAATATTTGATAACTCAAAATTAAAAAAAAAAAATGTATTTTCTCTTAATTAAATGTTATTCATAAAAACATTTTAAATGGATTATTTAAAACTAATAATAAATTATATAGATTAATAAAAGTTTTTAACAGACTATTGTTGGAAGATTTGCACCTCAGTTTTCTGGCTATCAGCAACAAGACTGTCAAGAATTAATGGCATTTCTTCTGGATGGATTGCATGAAGATTTGAATAGAGTGAAAAAAAAACCATATATAGAATTAAGAGATGCTGATGGAAGACCTGATGAGGTATTATATTTTTCTAAATATTAAAAAAAAAACTGTTTAAGAAGAATTTTGAAAACACTTATATTCTAATTTTAATAATCATCTGATATTATAATAGTTAACAGAACATCCTTTTTAAAAAAAATATCTGTTTTTCTGCTTATTTTGTATGAAATTTTGGATTGTGTAAGAATAAAAATTCTTTCACCCCCTCATAATTATTTGTGAAATGAAATATCCATGTTTTTATTGATTAATATAATTTCTTTTGCAACTCATTGATTAAAAACTTATTTTATTTACTCAATATTTATATACAGTATAAAAACAAAATCAAATAAAAATAAAAAAATTTAAATTTCTGTTAATAAATAAAATAATTTATAAGATTTTTAAATTGTCAATAGCAAAAAAGCCATATAACATGCATTTAAATTCAAATACAGTAGAACCTCGATTATCTGGATTAATTGGGGATGAAGGTAGTCTGGATAAGGAAAAATTCGGATAATCGAAACAAATACTTTGTCTTTTAATGATAATACAACACGTTTTCTTTTTGATGACATATTGGTAATATTAAAAGTAAATACTGTATTTAAATTGTGATAAAATTTTCAAGAAACAAACGTTCGTATTGAATTTGGACTACTACTGACCAACGCTAACAGACTACCTATTGTTTAAAAGGCCCTCTGGTGGCGCAAGAAGACGGATTTTATAAAATAAAAAGCAGTTGAAACTGCATTTTTATGAATAAAAATTTGACAAACTATTTATCGTTTTATGACGAGTAAAATTTTTTCATTGCGTTCGCAGCTTTTAAGTAACGCATAAACCTTCGAAACGCGAGGCCCTTTGGACCACGAGGCATAGGCCACCGCCTATGCCTCGTGGTCCGAAGGGCTTACGTTGCCCATGCCTTATGCCGCCCTTGGTCATAGAAATGATGTAATTTGAAAATAAAATTATTTATAAATACGTATGTCAAGTTATATTTTTATTATGACGCAAAATATATTTAAGAGTTTATGGCCACTATGCTGGGTGAGACATTGTTGAAACAAAAAAAGTTATGCATTCCATCACGTACATAAACAGTATCGTAATTCGCCAAGTGCAAATCAGCAAATTCGTAAAACTTTTGTTTATTTTGAACAATCCGGATAATTGAAAATCTGGATAATAGAGGTCCGGATAATTGAGGTTTTACTGTATTATTGTAAATTTTGCTAACTTAATCTAAACATGTTTAAGTACAGTCAAATATCAGGTTTCAAACACCTTGCTTTTCAAAAAGTTTGGTTTACAAACAAAATTTTGAACTCACTTTTGCTCCTGGTTGCCATATGATAACTCTGTTGCCAAACAAGCTACTCAGCAGAACTGGCCACCAATGGTCAACTTTCTACACTTCCTATATTAAAGGCCCAACAGTGGCAAAGTGGATAAAATTGTTGAACATTGGATGTGCCAACAGGCTGGCCATGTGGAGTTGTCTAGGTTTTCTTCACATTAGTAGCATCTGAATAGGGGCCATTTTCCCATAAAAGACCTTCCAGGAGGCATTTCCTCTTGGCAGATCACCCATGTGTTGCAATGTCATAATTGAACTAAACGAAATGTATGCTAAAAAAAATTTATAACCCAATCAATCAATGACAGGACTACTGATTCATATGTTAATGGAACCACGATCACCTCACGTCACAACAAGAATCATCAATGATGTTGCTATTTAAATTACATTTTAATGCACATGCAGAAAAAATACTATTTTCATTTTTTGGTACGTTTCACAATTGAATTTAAATCAAATTAAGTAATAAAAAGGGCATTAATTGACATTTATGTAATATAAATGGCTTTTAAGTATTTGTGTTTAGATAAGTTTAAGTTAAATTAAATGACAAAAATTTATTAATATAATATTATACTGTATATAATAATAATTATTATTATTATTATTAATAATACAATGGGTGATCGGTTAATGAACATAATCTGTTCCAAGACTTTGTTTGCTATCTGAATTGTTCGTTAATCGATTATTGATTTACCATAGGTTNTTTCTATGGGAATTTAATTAATTCGTTCTGGAGACCCCAAAAATAAAAAATATATACTTTCTTACTACGTTTATTTATATGTAATAATAAAAATACATACACACACAGTCTTGCATTTTTATTAGTCATGTTTTTTTTCCGTTTGAAATGGTTAAAGAATCTGTCTAATGTCGCTTGCTTTTCCCTCTTCTTCAGGATTTTTCGTAAGTAATTAGTAGCATTGCAATTGTAGAAATCCCCAAGCCTCAACCTGGTTTAGATGCCATTCTAAGACTGTTGTTCTGACATCTTCCCACTTCTTCAAAGGATCTTTAATAACAGATATTGGCATTAATCCTCATTTTCAGAAGAAAACATACCTCGCCGAGATTCTTGGTGTTCTTCATTCAAGAGTTCTTAGCGTTCTTCTATCGTCAGATTCGTTTTGGGTTCCATTATGAATTCTTCGATGTTCTTTATTTCTCAGATTTTATTTTTGTTACTCCTTTAGCTGCTTGAGTTTTCTGGATTATACAGTATTTTTCTTAAATAAGATTGAAATGCTGCCTACTGTAGACCTGTTCACGCCATACTGCTCAGCAACATTAGGCATCTTCTGCCCACTCTCCATCTTTGCTATTATACTCTCATCTTTCGAAAAGAAAAACAGATGCAAAACTTAATGAGCGCCTACCCGACAGTCTCGCAAATACATAAAAGAATTATTTTGTCAGAAAAATAAAAGGCTGGAATTACAAGGGAGAGTTTCAAAGTTTGGAGGAATACTATCCAATCGGTATATACCAGCTTGAGCGTTGATGTCGACGTTTCCCACACTCCGAAAAGTTTCGAATCGTTTCCCAAAGACATGGGAAGACCAATCGGTATTCATTATTTTACATCGCTTCTTCTTGTGTTTGTTCTGTGAGGTGTTCATTATCCGATCATGTATTCGTTGTCCGAACATAAAAATCTTTCGCTAAAGTGTTCGTTATCCGATCTGTTTGTTAACTGATCACCCACTGTAATCTGTTCCAAGACTATGTTTGCTATATGAATTGTTCGTTAACCAATTATCAATTTACCATAGATTTTTATAGGAATTTGATTCATCCATTCTGGAGACTCCCAAAAATAAAAAAAATATATATACTTTCTTACTACGTTTATGTAATAATAAAAATACATACATACACAGTCTTGCATTTTTATCAATCATGTTTTTTCTGTTTGTGGGGCATTAAAGTATCTGTTCAATGTCTATTGCTTTTCTCTCTTCTTTGGGATTTTTCAGAAGTAATTAATAGCATTATAATTGTAGAGATCCACAAGCATATTAACCTCAACCTGGTTTGAATGCCATTCTAAGACCATTGTTCTGACGTCCTCCCACTTCAAAAAATCTTTAATAGCAGATGTCATCATTAATCCTCTTTTTCTGAAGAAAACATATCTCACCAACTTTCTTGGTGTTTTTCATTCAAGAGTTCTTGGCATTCTTCTGTTGTCAGATCCATTTCAGTTTTCATTATGAGCTCTTCAATGTCTTTATTTCTCAGATGTGATTTTTGTTACTCCTTTAGCTGCTTGAGTCTTCTTGATTATACAGTATTTTCTTAAATAAGATTGTTTCTGTCAGAAAAATAAAAGGCTGGAATTACAAGGGAGAGTTTCAAAATTGAGAAATACTATCCGTGCAGTATATACCAGATTGAGCATTGATGTCGATGTCTCCCGCGCTCCAAAAAGTTTCAAATTGTTGTCTGAAGACTAATTGGTATTCATTATTTTATGTCGCTTCTTGTGTTTGTTCTGTGAAGTGTTCATTGGTCAAACATAAAACCTTTCACAAAAGTGTTTGTTATCTGATTTGTTCTTAATCCAAACTGTTTGTTAACCGATCACCCACTGGATTAGGTAGCCAGTTAATTAAAACTAACAATAATAATTAAATTTAAAAATAATAAAATAATAATTAAAACAGGCCTTTACACCAAAAGTAAAATTAAAGTTGGAATCAAATTGAATCAATTGAAACATAATATTTTGGAAATTGTGGATAAAGTACTTGTTGTCAGTATTGAAGTCTTGATTGATTTGGTTATATTTCATGCAGACAGAGTTAAGTCTCTATAGCTCTTCTTTGTAAAGTGTTAATTTTGGTTTTGGTTGGCAATGACAAAGCATTTTACTTTTAATTATATATATATATATATATATAATAGAATAGGTATAGATAATATAATATTATCTATGTATGTCATGCATTAAAACATTAAAATACCTATAAAAGCAATATAATATGTATTATATTGCGTTAGCATAGGTATTTTAATGTTTTAATGCATGAAATACAGCTAAAAAGGTTTTGTTTTGGAGGTTGGGAATTGATTAATCCATTTTATATTGTTTCCTATGGGAAAATTTCTTTCAGTTTTCAAACATCTTTTAGGGACGAATTAAGTTTGAAACGTGAGGTTTGACTGTATTTAATTCCTATAAATTTTAGAATATGGAAAGACATGCTGTTTATATTTTAAGATTTATCTTTTGTAAAATCACATATTGTTATGCATTTAATTTTTTTTACATTTACATTCCTTATAAGAGTGATGCCGATTGTGTTAAATGAAAAAATTACATAATTTTTTCAAATTGGATTCAATTGACTAAGCATAATTTTAATTTCTAACTAGAATTTTTTTCAAAAATCTGAAATTGATGTTTAAGTAATCAAATAACATAAAATGCAAGTATTTCTTTTATTAATTAAATTAAATTATAAATATCCAACCGAAACATTAACTGTATGCTAAATAAAGCTACATCAACTACAGTATAATATCAAGCTAAATATCGGCAATAATAATTTTGAATTACTAATTAGTGTCTACAAGGAAGCATAAGGCACCATCTTGTATTAAATTAAATAATTTTAGATTAAACTGGAAGAAAAGAATAAGCCCAGCGCGGGACTATTTAGCCCAATATTATATGGCAGTTTGTGTAAAACTTTATTATAATGTATTGCATTTCATGGAATGTTTATAACTATATGCTGTTGGAATTATGCATATGATGTAATCAATATATTTTATACATTTCTTAATCTAAGTTAATTCAAAACTATGCTAGTTTTTAAGGAAAATTGCAATTTTAAATTTATTTTCATAAAATTTATATTTGAATACAGTCCATACTGTTGTTATATATATTAAATATACATATGTATATTTTTTTCCTTTCTTAAATAGATAGTAGCTAAGGAAGCTTGGGAAAATTATTTGAAGAGGAATAATTCCATAATAGTAGATACTTTTCATGGTTTATTAAAATCCACTTTAGTCTGTCCAGAATGCTCAAAAATATCTGTTACATTTGATCCATTTTGTTATCTTTCATTACCTCTGCCAATTAAAAAAGAAAGACAAATAGAAGTTTCTTACGTTCCTTTAGATGATGCAAAGAGGCCAATTCAAGTAAGTGTTGTTTTATTTAGACTAATACAGTACTTTTTCACGTAACAAACAATTAACTTTTCAGATGAAATTAACAGTACCAAAAATGGGCATAGTTCAAGATTTATGTGATGCAATAGGAAAAACTATGGATGTTAGTTCTGATAAGGTAAGTTTTATTCAAAGCCAAAACTGACATTTGAATGATTGAATTTTAGGTGTTTTAAATTAAATTCTAATCACTTTCTTATGTATTAAGAAACATTTTTTTTTCATTATTATGGTAACTAATAAATATTATCAATAAATGAATATGCAATCTGTGTGATGATATGATTTTTTTATGATGAATACACAAGGTCTGTCCAAAAAGTTTGTGAACTTTTTAAATTACACACTAATCAGTAATTGAATCTGAATGCAGTTTGCACAGCTCTCTACTGGCAAGTTTTTTGTACTATCTGCCGAAAGCAGTTTGTTCTAGCTTCTTTTGTTGTTATGTTACATTAATTTGTGTAAACGTGTATTGATTTCTTTTTGCAATTTTCTTTCCGTGAGTGCAATTGAATGAAGAGTTCTGGAACCAGCTAAGTCTCATAAAAACTTCATGTAAAACATAATCACTGAGAATGAGATGTGGGTCTATGGGTTTGATGTGGAAACAAAATGTCAGTCATCACAGTGGGTGGGAAAATCTTTACTGTGACCCAAAAAGGCTTGGTAAGTTCAGTCAAATATGGAGGTTTTGTTCACTTCTGATGGGGGTGTTCAACAGATTTCTTCCAGAAGGGAAGACAGTAAATAAGGAATACCATCTGGAGGTGATGAAATGTCTTTGTGAAGCAGTGAGGAAGAAAAGACTGATTACTTGGAGAGAACAGCATCATGCAATGCTCCCATCCACACAACACTGCTGATAAGAGTTTTTGGCCAAGAATGTGATGCCACTTGTTCTCCAACCTCCAAATTTACTGGATTAAACACCAGCAGGCTTTTTTTTTCCAAATTAAAATTCACTCTCAAATGTTGCCATTTTGAACCCATTGATGCTATTAAGGAAAATTTGTTATCAAAGCTGCACAACATCATCCCAAAAGAAGTGTTTCAGGAAGTATTTTTTTCATGGCAGAAATGCTGAATTCAGTACATAGACTCAGGAGAGGACTACTTTGAAGGCAACAAAACTGACTAGTGTCTAGGTAAATGCAAACAACTTCTATTTGCAAAGTTTGTGAACTTTTCAGCAGGGCTGCGGAGTTGGTAAAAAAACACTCGAATTTGACTTTTGATAATTTTAGTAGGCCAACTCCAACTCCCGATTCCAGCAAAATTAAATATCAAGTCATTTTATAGGGGACAGAGGTGCTCATAGGGGTACCCTACTCTGAACTCTGAAAGGAGCTTGGGGCATTTACACAAATACTTTTATAGTTAGTATTTTTAATATTTATTTGTATAAAAAAATTTATTTAAAAAAATATTTAATAAGAAGAGAAAGGGGACAATAAAATTCTACATCTACATATATTCGACAACATTTGCACTTCAATTTCACCCTTCTAGAAGAGTTAGTCAAACTAAAAAGTGTGCGATCTTGCTAGCTACTTCAGACCCTTGTTTGGAAAAGAAAAATATGTACTCTGATCAATTAGTCTGGCTCATTCAGAAAAATAGAGTACTTATTTAGAGCAGGGATAATAAAGGAATGATTCAAAAATATTCAAATTCAATTGGTTCAAAATAATTTAACTACTAAACACAAATACTACAAAGAATACTACATATTTAATAAATTATATTGATGCCTTTTGTATTTAAAGTAAATGAATTATAACAAAATACAAAAAGATTTTTAAAAATTAATAAATATATAATAAATTTTCTTTCATTTAAATAAAAAAATTTAAAGTAAATTCAAAATGCAGGAGTCGGAGTCAACACATTTTTTCTGACTTCTCTGGCCAGAAATTCCTCCCGACTCAGACTCCACAGCCCTGTTTTCCAAACAGACCTTGTAGATATAAAAGCTATTTAAAATATTCAGTTTATTATATAGTGCAAGTAGACTTTAAGATGTAGAATTTCCGGTAAATTTATTATTAATATGTATGTTTTAACATTTATTTTTAAAATTATTTTTGTGTAACAATATATAATTTTTTAAGACAGGCAAATTGTGAAATTCAAGCTTTATTAGTACATATAAATACTAGGAAATAGCATTCTACTTTTCTTATATAGTTCTTATTATTTTCTATTGCACAATCTTCTTCAAAGCAGTTAAAGCAATAGGGGTTAAAGCAACAAAACTAAGCAAAGAATTCCATTTGAATAAACAAACTTTTAAAATATGTATGTACCCAGCTGCAAACATGGGCATCTGGAGAAAATTTATCAGGTGGGCAAAGTTTGGAAACAAATAATTACATCAATAATTTTTTATTCAATTTTTTGGGGTTTTTTATAAATATTGGATTGTTAGGAAAGTACTTTCGTTTTTTACCATTAGAGGGATTAGTTGTATCTTTACCTGTCAATTTCATTCTAAATCATATTGTCATTATATATTTTGACAGCTGACATTTCAAGGAAGGCTTGTAAAAAAATTTTTGTTTGAATCTTTGCAATTTTTTTTTGGTGCCATCAAATATGGAAAATCAAAAGCAGCATTTTTGGCATATTTTGCAAAATTTTGTTTAGGCAATTTTGATATTGAAGATGCATCATGTTCTGGAAGGCCAGTTGAAGCTGATGAAGACAAAATAAAGGTATTGATTGAAGCAAAGTGCCAAATAACAACACAAGAAATTGTTAAGAGATTAAACTTGTCCAATTTAACTGTTTATGATCACTTGAAACAACTTTGTTTTGTTTCAAAGCTTGATATATGGGTTCCATGTGTTCTTAAAGAAAGAGATTTGCTTCATCGCATTGACATCTGTGATTTGCTTCTCAAACATCAAGAAAATGATTTATTTTTGAAACAAATCATAACTGGTGATGAAAAATGGATTGTTTATAACAAAGTCGAATGCAAGCGATTATGGAGAAGAGATGAGCTGGCTCAAAGCACTTCAAAAGTTGATATTCATAAAAAAAAAGTAATGCTCTCTGTTTGGTGGGATTTTAAGGAAATTGTTTTTTCAAGCTTCTACCAGACAATTCCACAATTGATTCAAAAGTATACTTCTATCAACTAGACAAATTGAATGATACCATCAAACAGAAAAGGCCAGAATTGATTGACAGAAAAGGTATAGTGTTTCACCATAATTCCAGACCTCACACAAGTTTGGCAACTCATCAGAAGCTATTACAGCTTGGATGGGATATGCTATCACACCCACCATATTCGCCAGATCTGGCACCCTCAAATTATTACTTGCTTCAGTCTTTACAAAATTTTTTAAATGGTAAAACATTTACTTCAAATGAGGATATCAAAAATCACTTGAATTAGTTTTTTGTAAGCAAAGATCAGAACTTTTATGAGCATGGAATCATGCTACTACTAGAAAGATGGCATTGGATCAAAATAGTCAATACATAATTCAATAAAATGTTACATATTATAAAAAATTATTTTTTCTGTGAATAAAAAAATGAAATTACTTTCTGAACAACCCAATAAATTATAGAATACAGTATTGCATCAAAGCATTTCATAGTCGAGGGTGTAAGGTTGCATATCTCAATTGTTTGCATGATCATGATTTGTGGAATATTTTACTCAATCCCAGGGGAAGGAAAATGATCCATTTGCCCACTCTGCAGATGTTCATGGCTACAAAGCAAAATTTTAAACTAGGATCTTTAGACATTCCTTTGTTGCTGCTGCAAGTAATTTTATTTTATTTTTTTCAAATATATCTCGAAGACTGTTTTTCAGTATTGAAAAGATAAACTAATGATGCCAAATTAAAGTTATAGGATATATGGCAATAGTAATCAATTTGCAATCTTGACTGTATACATCTGCTTATGTATTCTTATGAAGTGCAAATATGCATAGTATTTGTGACCTTTCGGGTCGGCACCTCTTTGGTACCCTGTCAGGATTGACACCACCGTGTTTCGAGAAACACGGAAACCGAGACGGCGATTACGTCACGCCGTCGCGCGAGCGGTTCCGTACGTGGTCAGACGGATTCGTAATGTTGATTCGAGAGACAACATTGGAAGTGACTCAGATACACTTAACAATTAACAAGGGTTTATTTACAAATCTATTGGATGAAGAATTTTCGCGGAGAGAGAGAGTGCACATACACTTCGCGGGATGATAAATACCTTTGTTAATAGATTCGGGTCTTGTTCGGGTCTTCTTCGGATCTTGTTCGGATTATAACAGCTTCCGATGGGTTTAAGGTTTCTGATTCGTTATCCAGGCGATTCACTAACACACACACACACACACACACAAGTTTATCCTATGGCGATTAATTCGGATTCCTTAATGGATGATAATTGAAGGGACGGCTTTCCTCTCCGAGGACTACGGCAGCGACTAACTCTTTTCAGCCGTCTCTGATGACACTCACGGACGATTTCGGCCGTGCAGAGGTTAATAGTTCACGAGAAAGCGTCATGTTGCTTTCGAGAAAATGTAACGGGAGACTTTCTCAGGTAGCTAAGAACAACAATTGTTGCGTAATTCGCAAAACGTTATTATTAAAGATTATTTCAAATATAAGAATTTCTGCTATCTCACATATTGCTTAGTTAATATTGCCTATATATGTAAGCCTAAGACAATAATTCTTTTAGATTTGATATTGCTAGAATACCATAGTTTTCTGTGTACAGTATATCCTAACAGACAGACTCTACATAAGGAGCAACTTTACAATTTCTTTCAAAGAATTGTCATTACTGTCCTTGAAAATACACTGTATTAAAATATAGTTTCAATAACCAGATTTACACTTTTTAACTACAATATTTATAAAAATTGACTTAAAAAATGTGAATTGAAAAAATTTTTGTCACTTGATATTTATATTTTTAAACTAGCTTACCTGTCGTGCATTGCTGCGATCTCAGAAGAAAGGAAATTTAAGCAAACTCGTTATGATAAAATTAAATTTACATTTTATCATTTTTATTGAAACTTATTATTATTATTCATTTTCATCGGGAGAACATTTCAGTGTCGTTTCAATTCTATTTATTTATTGGAGTGTTTGTGGATACACGATATTTTTGTTTTTCTGTCTGGTGCGTGCACGAATAAATCAGAAGGTTTTCTGATGCGTGAGCCGGCCACATACAGTTGTCCATGCGATAAGCACGGATTCTCCAAATGTAGCCCATACACTCGCAGTGATTGTCAAAAGTGCAATATTCCCCATTTATATTTATTTATTGGAGTGTTTGTGGATACACGATATTTTTTTGTTTTTCTGTCTGGTGTGTACACGAATAAATCAGAACGTTTCCGATGCGTGAGCCGGCCACATACAGTTGCCCACGCGATAAGCACGGATTCTCCAAATGCAGCCTATAAACTCGCAGTGATTGTCAAAAGTGCAATATTCCCCATTTATATATATATATATTTTTTAATCCTTTATAATTTTAAGTTTTTAATTGCTCCTTCTTCTCTTCCTTGGCACGTTGTGAAATTTCTGATAGTTAGATAATAAACCGTTTTATTGTAATTTGTCTTTTTAAATTATTTTGAGTTGATATTAAAATTTGGAAAAGGGGGGATACCTAGATCGNTTTCATTCATTTTTTACAAAGTAAAATTTTGATTGATTCTTTAAAAAACTATCAGATAGGATAAAATATATGGCAGTTTTTAATGGATATCTAACTTAAGTTGGCACCTGTCTAAACAGACAATCTCTACACTAATGTTTGATGAGAATGTTGTGACTATGAGCAATAACACACACAAAGATTGAGACTATGAACGATGCACTTTATTTCAGTTTGGGATTGGATACATGAATAGCGATGAAACCAAAGGGTCTAACTACAACCTAATCTCTTGACTGGCGGCTAATTACCCTTTCACCCTCAAGGGATGCCCTAATCGTTGCATCACTCACAGAGAAAGTACAAAAACACTTTTTTCTGTATAATAATATACAGATATCATGCTTCATTAATTTATGAAAGTGAATTGTGAATAGAAAAGAAATTTTCTGTTCTACAACTTGTTTATTTATTTATTAAAATCTTTTGCAAATGTGTATTAAATATATATATATATATATAGCTAATACAGCAGTATTGAATTAAATCAGTTTTCATAATAATAAACATGTTAATTTAACGTATTACATTTTATTCATTTAAAGTTTATTCAAAAATTTAATGTTAAAGTTGTTATTATAAACTTAATTACATTTATTATTTCTTGTTTATTTTTGTAGATATGAGCTTCCTGTTGCAGGTAGAAATGATCCAAATATACTTATTTTACCAGTTTACATGAGAGAGAGAAGGTAAATTTAGTATAATTTTTTAAAAATACAGGATTAATGGGCTTGTATATGACTAATCATATGATTATTTTCTAATTTTAAAAGAAATTATGCAAACAAATTTTATAACTATTTTTAAAAACTTTTTATTAGTATTAATCATTTTATTAATTATTTCAGTATAAATTTATATTGTTATAATTGTAGCTGTTTAGACAGTATTATTAACCTGTGATTATGTGCAGTAGTGGCAATTTTTTGCAAATTTTTTTTCATGGGCATATTTTATCAAATTGCAATGACCTCTCACTTATACATCTCTTATTTAATTAAGCAACTTTCTCAGTTATGAGATGTTTTTCACTGGTCCTGGCTGAAGCCTATGAGAGATAATGTCTAAAATTTCTCAGTTCTACACCCCTACAAATGTTTTTTTTCCTCACTTTACTGTCATGATTGTCAATCACAAGAACAGAGTTGGATCACTTTGCCATAGGTCAAACAGGTGGCCAATGAAGATAAGAAAGCAAAAGGATTATCACACTGGTCATAATAACTGATTTTAGAGAGTGGCTGCTGGCTATACATTTAGATAAAACAAGTGGTAAAATCATAACTCTGTAGCGACCATTGTTATGTATATCCAGACTATTGTTGCTTTCCCCTAAAGCTGTTGTCAGGTGTGTATTGACTAATAACTTTGGTATTTACCTGCATATTTTTCAAATTTTGACAAATTGACCTTTCCTGGCATGTATTCTATTTAACTATGTCAAAGTTGATGGAAGGCCAGCAAAACTTCCAAAATCTATGTACTTCCAGTTTCTGTCCTATGGAGATTTTAATATAAAGAAAAATACAGTACTGTACTTTGCCCCAGCAGGCCCACTTTTGCAACAAAACTTGGATATACACACTAATTTCTGGGTGACATAGGTAAGCAATGTTGCCAGATTTAACTTTGTATTTTGAATTTAAGTGAAATAATACTTTTAACTGTGGTAATCAATATTGAAAGGGTTACAGTTATATTTTTAACATTTCTCATTCAAGTTGGTCAATCTCTCTCTTGTACAACACTCTCACTTTATATAATTTTTATTATTGGTCCCCTTAGAGTTGTATAACTGAGAGGTCACTGTAGCTTAGTTATGCTTCCATGATATTCTCATGCAACATGATATTCATCTGTAAAAATTTTAGGCAAAATTTTTGGTTTATTTAGGCACTTAAGTTACTTTTAACCATATTTTAAATTGCAAAATATTTATGAGAATATGTAATGCAATCCTATTTATTAGAAATTTTTCTGAACTGACACTGATTCCCCAAGTAGACTATTTCATTTAAATTATAGATTAACCTGTGATCACATGCAGGGTTTTTAAACAAGCATAAATGCATAACTTGACAATATTCTGCTGATTTTTCATGCATAATTACACTGCATTTAATTGCTGTTCCTCAAAAATGATGATTCTGAAAAATCCTGTAATGTGTCTTATCTACATGTATGCCAAACTTCAGTATCATACATTGTTTAGTTTATGAAATATTGGTTTGCTTACAGAACATATGAAATGAGTTCAACTGGAAATAAATAAGAGGGTTGAGGTATTTTCCATAAGGAAAATACCTCAGAAAATGACTTTTCTGCATTTTTGGGCACAAAATAAAGCCATAAAAATATTTAAATTGTTGAAGGTCATAGCACTCCAGGCTTTTTTACAGACCTCTAAATGTTCAAGGTTGTAGAAAATGGCAGACAATCATGTCATTACATTACACATAGCTTGCAAACATCCATGACATCATGACTACTTTTTTTGGAAATTGTGAAAGACCTCTCTGATGTCAGGTCACCAAAAATCACATCAGAGCACCATGTAACACATGTGATCATATGACAATAAAGAAAAATTGTACAAGATTGCATGCCTAAAGTGATGATTTTTCACAAAGGTTTTTCAAAAGTTTTGAAAATATACTTAAGCTTATTTTCAAAGCTGTTTGTGAAAGTTAAAGTACTTGAATGATTGAGCAATCAGGTTTTTTCAGTTCTAAAATATAGTTTATTATTCAAAATGTATATAGTTTAATTCATTTTTAATAATAATAATAATAATAAAATCTTTTATAGTAGACTGAGGCCAGGAACAAATAATTTCAGTACATCATCTCACCAGTTATTTGGACAGCCACTGTTAGTTCCAGTACCACGTAATGGATGCACGTATAATATTCTGTTTCAGTCTATTATCAATAAAATGTCGTAAGTTGAAATTTTGTATATTATGTGATTATATATAACAGTTTATGTTAAAAAGTAATTTTATTTTTAAAAAAAAATTTAAATTTTTAAATAAGTTCTTAAATCAATGCTTGAAGCTTTTACTAAGCTTAATGTTGTCTGTATACTGTAGCTTGCAGCAATTGCAATTTTGAATGTTATTCCATGCTAGATCTTTCATTATATATTTCTCTGAATTAATTAATCATTGATTTCTAACTTATCAGGTTAAAATAGTCCTTCAATTTAGGTGATTCTTCAACTATTTCTATTTCTTTTTTTCATTCATTTTTTACAAAGTAAAATTTTGATTGATTCTTTAAAAAACTATCAGATAGGATAAAATATATGGCAGTTTTTAATGGATATCTAACTTAAGTTGGCACCTGTCTAAACAGACAATCTCTACACTAATACCAAGTTTGTGTGTATGTAAAGAATATGTACGTTAGTTTTCAAAATAAATCATTTAAAATAATTTTAAAATACAGCTTAGTTAAAGTAATATCTTATGTATCTAAATGATTTTGAATTGTGCATTTTTTTTATTGTAAGATGAATTATCAGTTTAAAATTGAACAAAAAGTTTTTAATTAATATGTAATGTAATTATACTATACTATTATGTACAGTACATACTATTTTAACCTGATTTAGTGTTTCACTAAAATAAATCAATATAAAAAATGTTTTTACTTTCTGCAGCGCACACTGTACTCTTCTCCTTATAATTTTATTCTAATGTTGAATGATAACAATTACACTGGAACTTGCACTTCTGTCTGATAACTGATAAATTTCTTTTGATATCATCAAAAAGATATTAATGATTAAGATGACCTGATTTCACAGATAGTAAAATTGTATATTTCATCAATTCTAAAACATAACAAAATAAATAAAATACAGTACAGCATCGTTTATCCGAATCAATTGGGGACTGGGGTTGTTCGGATAACTTAATTTTTGGATAACCGATTATGCACGAAAAAATATATTAACCTATTCCATGTTGAAATTTTTCTCCATTGCGTGTCGCTTCATGTTGAATTTTAGTCAATGTTAAGCCTAACGTAAACTTTTTAAAATAATAATCGTGGCTATTGTATCGTTAAAAATTATTTCTTTATTTTTTATAAACAAAATAAATATATTGAAAAATATAAAAACAAAAAAAAAATATACTTTAGAAGTTAATCTAGTATCAAAAACGTTCGATTCAGCACGACACACAGTCCTCAGAAAAACACCACACAAAAGTGCCAGTGCTGCCAGCTTAAACACAAATCAACAAAAAAGATATTGGAGTAGCCCAAGATATAGCCAAAGATTGCAGCGCCACAGCACTAGCAAAAATTTAAATTTGCCGACTGGAATTCTTTCGGATAAACGACGCTCTACTGTGTATATATATTTTATTATTTATCAAAAATAATTATTTATTAACTTAAATGCTTTTAGAATAGAATCCAAAAATGATTGATTATATATATATATTGATTATTTAAGATTATATTCAGTTATACTAATTATCATTTTATACAGTAAGATAAGTTAGATTATAAAATTAAGTAACTTTCAATTATGATTTTTAAAAACATATCTGAAGATTAATAAATAAATAAATGTTTATTTATTTGCATTCTCAGCAACTAGAGGTGTATTCAGAATTTTTAGTTGAAGGAACCAATCACACTCTCACAAAGATACCTACACACTGAAGAAATAGTTTGTTCATTTACAAATGATAGTGACAAAAAACATTGACTGTTACTAACCATAACTTTTTATGTGGACTCGTTTAAGCCATCTAAGTTTTTCAAAACAAATATTTACAAAAAATATAAATAATTGTTGTCTATATTAATATATTTAAAAAAATAAATTTCATATATATATTTTTAAAATTAAAATTTAGTGGAAACATTACTTTAAAATAGTATTTAATTTATATATTTGATTATAAAAAATAATTTTTAATACTTCGGTACTGTTTGTATGTTTATCATAGTCGGTATGTGAAAGAATTGGATACTGATGATGAATGGTGGAATGAACCTAATGACCCAGATAGGCTAAATGGAGGTGAGAAATTTAATTTCTACAAAAGATTTGTAATATATTATAATGATAATTTAAATAATTTTATGTTTCACAAGTATTACTATTTAAAATTTATATTGATGATGAGAAAAGACTAAATATAGAAAGAAATAATTTATTGTATTTGCTGTTATGTATAAAATATCCAAATTTTTTTTTAAATTTTGACTACTTGGATGAGAAACTTGGGATTATTTCCTTTATATTTAGCTTAATTTTTTTTCTATGGCTATAATTTAATATGAAAGTTATAATCTGTCATCTGTAATTATATAGATATTGATTATTCTGTTGATACTAGATATAGTTTTTAGATAAATCCAATTTTGTTTTTGTATAATAGATATGTTTCTGAGAAATCCATGTAAAAAGATACTGTCATATGAAATAATAAACTGAAGTGTGAAAAAACTTAGATACACTTATTTAATAACATGTAGCTCCTCCCTGAGCCCAAATAACAGTAGCTACATGATGTGTCATAGACTCTACATGGTGTCTGAGTTGTTACACAGGTATTTCAATCCAGACACATCCAACGGTTTTTCATAATTCAGTGCATATTTGATAGTTTTGCAAGGCATTGAGTAACATTTTCAGTGTCCCATAAATGACTTATGGGTTTCAAGTTTGGCAACCGAGGTGACCAAGGGAGTAGCTGAAAATCTGTCAAGTGTTTTTGAATCATTGTTGTGCCGAGTAACATTATCCTGCCAGTACAAACCATTACCATAGCAAGTCTAAAGGGGTACAAAACATCTGCCACAAGATTAGTATACATTGCACCTGTTAAAATCAACTGCAATCTCACCATTAGTCCCTGTTTATGCCAACAGTATGTATAAAATATTTATGTATTCCTGGTAAACCCTTGTAACTGTTGCATGAGAAAATCCAAAAGTGGGTCACTATCTGTGACTACCTCACAGATAGTGACCCATTCTTTCTGCTCCAACAATATATTCACAATCAAACAGCAATAAATCCTTTAAATAGCCCATTGCTACTATAACCAAACTCATGCATAACCAATAAGTATTGTATCTACAGTGTCAAAGGCAAATGTTTCAGCTCAAAGCATTTCCCCTGTTAGTAAAAGGTAACATTACATGTGCTGCTGTCTCTAATTTTTTATCACTTCAGTTTATAAACTTGGTTTTTTAAAAACTGATAAAAATATGACAAACCAATTTATACTGTATAATAGGATTTATTTAAACAAAATATTTCTTTTGGTTTATTAAAGATTAGATTGATCAGATAAAGCAATGCAACACTTAGGTCAGGGGTGGCCAAAATGGCGCATTGGACGATTACAAGTGGCGCTTCAGTTAGTTCTGAACAAAATTGCCAGATTTGGCTTTTTTGCAATTAAGAATATTATATAGAAAAATAAATTTTTTATAGTCTGTCTTGGCAAGTTCATTTGTTGCACAATTCGTTACAGGCTTTATTTAATGGTTAAAGAGTGCNGCAAAATTGCCAGATTTGGCTTTTTTGCGATTAAGAATATTATATAGAAAAATAAATTTTTTATAGTCTGTCTTGGCAAGTTCATTTGTTGCACAATTTGTTACGGTCTATTTTGCAGATAAAATGAGTATTCTCCATATAGTAAATTACAATGTATGCATGTATTTTGAGTCTTGCGATCTTTATTTCCGATCAGTTTACAGGCGTGTAAATGGCTGAAAACATTTAACATTTATTGTGATTAAAGTTATTCCAAGCTGATCTCGTTCTCAGTGCCAATAATTGTGGTGCAGAGTAATCTTCACCAAACAAGACTCTGGCAACAATAGCACCATCATGAAGCAATCACCCTCTTGTACAGGAGATCATTGTTGACTATTGTAAATTGGTGCTTCAATAAACTGTCATAAATTAATTAATTCAACTGCCGTGATTAAGTTATTCCCTTTTCTTTCCTAAGCGAAGCAGATTTATTCTTATCTCTATTTATCAACCCCTAACATTGAATGTAAGACTGTATAAAAAGTGTTTGAGTTATATGGCACATTTGAACTCATCTGTCAAAAAATTGGCGCATGGTATGCAAAAGGTTGGCCACCCCTGACTTAGGTGATCTGCCAAAGGAGAGGGTGTCTCTCAGGAGGATTTTTATGGAAAACTGATCCCTACTTAGATTTTAGATATGTTAAGAAAACTTAAAAACTCTACACAGCCAGTTTAGAACTAACTGCTACTAATGTTATCTGCTCAGTCACCGATATACCTTTGTATTGAAAGAAATCAAAAGTAATCAAATTGTCAAACTACAAATTAAAGTTTTTCTGGCTGAATTCAAAATGCTGATTGTCACTATATGCATTCAAATAAGTTGCAAAAAACAGACAAATCTCAAAATTTACTTGAGCATGTGTAACAGCCTTAAATGCAAATTCCAAGAATTTTTGCTTTAAAAAGAGCAGTTTGAATTCAAGAAAGGAAAGTAAATATATTTTTTCTTAGAATTAAAATCAAATGGAAATTTTAAAAAGGCACATTTATTGAAACATGTTAAATCAAAATAAATTTGGGAAAAATGTAATTCTCTTTTTACATGACTATGTTAAATCAAAATTGTAAGACAAATCCATATAAAAACAGAATTTGGTAAATTTTTCATATTACTGATATGACCAAAGCACAGGTTAAAAGTTAAATATAGTCAGTGGTGATGTATTTTTAATTGACAGTATTTATTATCTCACTGAATGACAAAAGTTGATATAAGCTATAAATCACATTATAGTTCAAATACTGGAGCATTTATTTCTTTATTCTTATACTGTGTAAAATAAATTTTTTTAAATTAATATTTTCATTATAAATATTTTTTATTTATAAAATAGAAATTGAAATGGCAAACATAGATGAATATGACAGTGATGTACAAGATGATGATGCTGATGAACGAGAAAATATTCACATGTCAGAAGGAAATATCCCTCCACTCTTTACTTTAAGTAGTGTAAATGCTTATGGTAATGTTGAAGTTGAGAAAATTAAAGATGATGAAAGTATTTTGCAACTTAGTAGTAAGTATATTTTAATTTATTAATTAATTCTGCCACACCTATATGTAAAAAATGTAATGATCATGTTACTATGTTAATGTTAATGCATATGTTAATTATTAGACGGATACTATGATTCTTTGAATATTTTTTAAACCTTAGTTATTGTGGCATTGGTGGATTGTATCCTACTTAGTTTATACTAGTGTCTAGGTGCTATGTTTAACCAAGGCATAGAAACAGAAAAATCTGTTATTTTGTATGCATATTGTATGTGGGTTTGTTTGTTTGTTTGTTTAAGAATTTTATGATCATATGACATGTGTTTAGTATGACTGCTTTCTGTAATAGGTTGTACTGTTATTAAGTCTTAATGCTTTTTGAATTTAGTAATTGATATGACACCTTCGTAAGAAATGATTACAGGGCACAATAAATATTTTATCCATTCTCCACAGATGCTTTATCTCATGGACAAGTTCTATTAAATTTTTCAGTGTATGTATTATGTACGTTGTAAGTATTTTGGTGCAATGTCTGTAATGTGTGCAATTTTGTTTCTTGCTCATCCATCCACAAAGATATGGATGGATGAGCAAGATATATGGCTGGCACATAGCATTTCTGGTATCACTGTTTTCCAGGCCTGTCATATGCATCATACACTGATGCTTTTAGGTGTCCCCACAGGGATTAAGTCTGGGGAATGTGATAGCCATGGAACAGGACCATGTTGTTCTGTCTAGTGGTTATCAAACTGTTCTGCAAGCCCACTGACGTACATCTGTCAGTGAATGAGCTGGCATGCCATCATGTGGTACCAAAGCTGTTGAATTTGTGGTAAAACAACTCATCAAGGCATTCATCCACCATCTTGTTTAGGATGTTGAGATATTGATCTTATTCAAAATGTCATCAATGAATCCTGGACCAAGAAGCTAATCATCCCAAATTCTACACCAGGCATTTAGGGTAAAATGCACTTGGTGTCATATACACTCATTGCTGTCAAAATTAGCACACTACTGAGGAGTTGTTGGAATCAAATAGAATTGTACATGTGTGAGTGTAATCTATACTAATATATAAAGAGATAATGTTTGTATGTATGTAAGTTTCGTTGCAGCAGGTAATCTCCGAAACTACTCATCCGATTTCAAAAATTCTTTCACCAATATTTAAAATGGAACCTCAGGGTGGACATAGGCTGTATATTATTCCGTTAAACATTCATATAAATTAAAATATATAATCTAGGTTAAGGCTTTTATGTCCAACAGATGGCGCTACAAGTATGACGCCCTAAGTTTGCTTTTCTGTGAGGCATTACGCTTTTCTGTGAAAATGAACTAAAGTGGATCATCTTCTATCTATTTATATAAATGAAAATGTAATGTTCGTTTGTTCCTACCGATTCCTTTTAAATTTTGACACAACGCTGCATTCGAATGCGCACGTGTTTTTATATCATATATGTGTCGAAATTTTCCACACTGGGGGTGATGGACAGGATTAAGACTTACAGTAAAGAACTCTGCTTCTATTTATACTATTCAAGATGCAGTTTTTTGCATTTTTGATTGCATTTTAATAGGGTATGTCAACAGAATGTACACTAAGAAGGAATTTTTCGTAAAATTCCCCCTCCCCCCACAGGGGAAGTGTTATACATTTATAATAGATACATTTTGAGCCACAACAATGCGTGGCGGGGTCTGCTAGTGGTGATATAAGTAAGTGATTACAAAATGAAAGCAAAAGAATCATTTATTGCAGGAAAACTTACAAATAAAAGGAGGTTCTAGTATCCTCTAATGTGAATACACAATGTGATATGGGCAGGCAATGAAGGCATACAAGTACTATATGGTGTCCTGCAGTATCTCTGTTCACAGTTGCTGCAAGCAGTCTCTAGTTCAGCCAAACTCCTACGCTGTCCAACTATCCAGGTGATCCCAGACATGTTTGATTGATGACAAATCAAGAGACTGGGCAGGCCAGAGAAGTGTGGCAGAGACAGTCCTGTGTGGGATTGAGCATTGTCTTGTTGGAAAGTGTCTCTTGCAAGCCTGCCACTACTGGAGGTGACCAATTGTCATATGTGATGGCACCTCAGACCATCACACCAGTTGTGAGGGCAGTGTAGCACTCCAAAGCATAGGCAGGATTGAGGTGTTCACCACAGGGTCTCCAGACATGAATACGGTCATCATCAGTGGCCAAACTAAATCTGGATTTGTTGCTGTAGATGACTCGGTTCCATTTCATAGCAGTCCAATCTCATTGGAAATGACACCACTCCAAACAGAGGTGATTGTGGTGGCTGTCAATAGCAGTACATGTAATGGCCGCAATACTAAATGTTCCTCACCCAGTCACCTCAAAATGGTATGGACAGACAGACACGGGCCTGTAATGATGGCACCATCAGTGTCTGGATGGTGGACAATGATATGGTTGGCTGTGTGCGTGCTTGAGTTAAATTATGTTACCTTGGCTAGTGGTCTGCCAAGGGTGTTTTGAGCCTGGGCTCTGTGTGTGTGCACACTCTCTCTTATCCACTGGTCCCAACACTTTCTCCTTCTCACAGTGTAGTCAGAATGGCCTAGTTGGTGGGCTATTCAGCGAGATGACCATCCGGTTTCTCTTAACCCAATGAACCTTTCCCTCTCAAACTCAATTGTTCATATGGTCTTTGATTGTGATGTAAAGGCATCTCTAATGATGCAGCACCACTCTGCAACAGGTAAACTACAGACATGAAGCCTTTGTGCACTTTTTTGTAGGCCAAGGAGGACACTGTTTAATGTTCTCTGCTGACTTTATGCAATGAGCCATCACAATATAACTCTTATCTTGAATTTACTGGTTATAACTCTTATCATTTCTTCATCTGCATGACTTATCTGCATGCCAAGTTTTGCAATGATACAACAACTCCTTGCTGTGCTTATTTTAAGACAATGAGTATATGTTGTTGCATTGTAGAGTGCACACTATCCACTGGTGGACATTGTGATGATTAGCTACTCTGTTATGGAAAAATATAGCCTTGTCAATCCATAAAATATACTGAAGGAATTATGGTTTATCAAGCTGTAGATTTAAATCATGTTACTCAATTGATGTGTGGAATCCTCTACATGTTGTTCTGGTTGCAGATAATAGTGGAATGGGTGCATGTCGTGGTGACAAAACATTAGGTATATTTGTATTCACTGCAATCTGTAACTTAATCTAATCTGACCAATGCTAGAAAGATCTCTTTTGCCTCTGGATACCTGTTTAAGTTGAGACTGTATACCTAACGCTATATGTTTATAAATCAGGTACCCCTGAAACAGATGTGTTTAGCAGACACCCATTCAGAAAAAAAATGTTTCATTTTATAAATTGCATGGAATGTTTAATTCAATATATTTACTATAAAAAATTTTTTGATTTTAAATAGTTTTGGATAATTCATCCATATCATTATGATAGACTTGTTGTGACTCAGCATTATTGTCAGCAATATCAATTCTGCTTCAAAGCAGATTTTACAATGTTAGTTTATAGCAGGGTAGGCAACCTATAGCAGACTGGATGATGTTTAGTGACGCACTGATTGAATAGAAATGTAGTAAAAATTATATTTTAATTATTAATTACACATTTAAATGGAAGTCATAGTTTAGTTTAGGCCATGGTACATTAAAAATGAATCTCTTGCTTGTATATTTACATTACAGCTCATGCATTTGCACTCTTTGTTGCTATCTACATGTTTTGCAAGCACTTCACATGTAGGAACATAATTTAATTAGCAAAATTAAAACTTCAAAATTATATATTTTTGAAGTCCATTATAACCGGACTAATTTTGATAATATGTATAACAAAATTGGTAGAATCATGTCAGCGTCCAGAATAACAGTTTAACTTAGTATTTGTATGTATGTGTTGTGTTTGTGGTTTTTTTTTTTTTTTTTTTTTTTTTTTTCTNTTTTTTTTTTTTTTTTTTTTTTGAATGAATGAATTCATATTGTCCCCATTTTTATTATTTAAATTTTATGCTATGATAAAATTTAAATTTAATATATTAAAGATTTGTGAAATTATTTTTATGCATATTTTTTATTTTTTTATTTTTTATTTTATTTTTAGATAAAACATATATAGCTGTTGATTGGCATCCTAAGGCTAAAGAGAAGTTTTATGATGAAAAAGAAGCAAAGGTGTGTATTGAGATCTATACATTTGTGATGTTACTTTCATTATAAAAAAAAATGATTCTGCCATTGAAAATAAAAATATAGTTTTTGTTTATATTTCTATAATATATACAAATTTCTTTAAAATTAAATGATATTTCATTTTATTGTTTATATTGTAATTTTTTGATAGGAAAAGTTATAATTTAAAATTTTTTTTTAAATTAAAATCTCTGCCAAATATGTGGGCAATCCAGAAAGTAATTTACACTTTGGTCACTAGGGACATGGGGTTGGGTAAGAGCCTCCACTTTGATGTCAGTGTGTTCCCTTATTCATTATATGTTCAGCTGTGTTAGTGTGGGGTTTGTGTTTCTTCTGCTTTGTCCACTATAAATTTTTAAAATTTGTGCTGCAATTGAAAATTCCCTGAGTTGTGAAGTGCAATCAGTGATTAAGTTTTTGTTGGTAAAAAAACCACAAACCAATTGAAATTCATTGTCAACTTTGTGAGATATACAAAAATGACATAATGAGTGAAGGCAGAGTGAGGCAGTGGTGCATTGTGTTTAAAAATGGCTGCACTGATGTTCACAATGCAAAGCGGAGTAGCCAACTGAGCATTTTGACTGATGAACTGGTAATGAAAATCAATGGAAAGGTTTGTGAAAACTGCCGTTTCACAATTACAGAGCTCTCGTTTGAGTTTTCACAAATTTCACAGAGTTTGTTGCATGATGTTGTAATGCACAAGCTAGGCTACCATAAGTTTTGTGACAGATCGATACCAAAAACCTTGTCAGATGACCACAAAAAACAGCACATGGTAACATTGTTGACATTTTTGGAAGCCTACCACAGAGATGATGACTCACTTCTTGATCATGTTGTAACTGGGGATGAGATGTGCATAAAACAAGTGAATTATGAGACAAAAAACCAGTCTATGGAGTGGGAGACACAAGTTCTCCCACAAAACCCTGGAAATGTTTGCAAACATCAGCCAGAAAGATCATGGCAAATCAATCAGCTGTATGAATTTAACATATTTGAAAACTAAAAATTGGTTTTTCAAACATCTTCGAACATCATCGTTCTAACATTCCAGTTTGGAAGCCAGTTTAGTTAAAAACCTGAGGTAGGCCTTGATGAAGACCCAAAATGTTTGGAAGTTGCATTAAAGTTCTGTTACTGGTTAAAAAGGTTTTGTTTGTATTTAATTTACTCCAGTAATTTGAGAAGGAGACAGTTATACTACATAATTATTACTATATAGTTTAGAAAATTCAAATTAAATCATATAACTAATTAAATAGGCCTATGATATAATTTGCCACACAGCACTAATTGATAAATTAAAAACGTTTTAAATTAGAAGAATGCTTTAATTTAAGCATGTCACCATCATAGGATAGACTCAACAATGACAAATTTGATGTAATATGTTGATTGGTGATGACTTCAATTTTATTTCTATCAATGTCATGATTGACCTGTTTTTAGCATAGGGTGCTAAATAATGGATTTTTTTACATTTAAAAATGCAAAATTAATTTACAATGACATTGTGCAGCTTTTTCTGAAAATTCATTTAAGAAATACACCAAATTTTTGCAAAAGGATAAACTTTAGCATTTTTGGACTGAATTTTTACATTATTTTTTTGAAAATGTGACCATATTTTTATATTTTAAAATATATCTTGATATTAATGTTTTTATTTTATAGTAAAATCTACAAAAAATATGAAAAATAAAGGAAAATAATGTTAATAAAATAATGATAAACCTTCATTTTAACTAAATAGTCAAGACAGATTCAGAAGATTTTTAAACACTATTACTTTGCAAATTGTCTGTGTGAGGGAACAGTTGAATATTTCATTTTAATTCAAGTTGATATGAAATTTCATCCATTAAATAGTGTCAAAGCATTTTGAAATGGAAATGGATTTTCTTTTTCACATTTTTTAAAGCTCTCTTTCAGTTTTTCATAAAAATCAACCAAAACTGAGACAAACTCATCCATACCACAATTTATGCAAATCCATGAACATTTAACTATGCAGTGAGGTAACAAGTAACTGAACTGATAAAAAACAAAGAAAACAATGTTTCAATTTCACTTTGTTAAAACACAAGGTTCCTGTGCTTTTCCTACATTTCGGTCAGTTTTTCCAATTAGTGACTTAAGCTTAACCAAGATGCTACTGCACTTTTTGTGGTTAATGCCATGATCTTTTTTCTAACACAAATTTCTCTTGAACCTGACTTGTGCAATCAGATATATTCTCCACCTTTGGAATTGTAATGATTTCACTTCTCAAATCTGATTTTGTCTATTGATCTAAAGGTCAATAGACAAAAATGGATAAAATTTATTAATCATTATTAGTTCCTTACTTTCAAAATAAACTGATTTTTATAATACATTTATAAAAGAAATTGAAGTAGTTATTATGTTAAATTTATTTTTTATCCAATAGACATAACTTAGTTATGATTGATTAATTTCATACAAACACATTATTTTTATTTAATAGGAACATGATATTCATGAATCATTAAATGTAAGATGGTCACAAAAGAAGCAGGTCATTCAACTTAGTGAATGTTTAGAATTATTTACAACAACTGAAAAATTAGGTGCTGAAGATCCATGGTATTGTCCCGAATGTAAAAAACATCAACAAGCTACAAAAAAGTTTGATTTATGGTCATTGCCTCAGGTATTAATAATTCATCTCAAACGCTTCTCATATAACCGTTATTGGAGAGATAAAATTGATACTCTTGTAGAATTTCCTGTTAGGTAAGAGTTGTTCTTTTAAAATTAAAATTTCATGTTTAAATAACTTTTTCATAATAATTTATTATTACAGTGGTCTCAATATGGCAAAATATATCATTAATCCTCATCATAATCCTGCTGTTTATGATCTGATTGCAGTAGCCAATCATTATGGTGGAATGGGTGGAGGACATTGTAAGTATTTTAAATATTTACAGTAATAAAATGACCTTACTTACATTTTTATTAAATAATATTTAATATATATATATTAAATATATTAATATTTAATAT